CGCTTTGATACAAAGGCACCTAACCTGCCTAACTGTCCTATCATTGTTCAAGTTTCATTCTCTGCTGGTTCTTTTATTTCTTGTACTCGTTGAAGTAATATGTGCAAAAGTATTAGTTATTTCCGTCTATGTAACGACAATATTTTGCTTTTACAACCTCAGGTTTCTTGATACATTTACGAAGATGGCTATCTTCAGAGGTACGCGATTTCAAAGCTGGAGTATTTATCATTTGGTCGCCAACCAATGAGCGTGTTTAGTCTAACGTTTTGTTTTGCAGGATTTGGCGTTATCTACGCATGCGGCTCGGGCGTTGGCCAATCTTGATCGGGACTTCAACCACAMAGAATGCTACGAARAGGGTGTTTATGTACTTCATCCAGACAAGAGGCACAGGTATCCCATTCTCTTAAAACAATATTATAATGTTMATATTATTATTAATTAATATCATTGCTTGATTTCTTGCTGTATTTCTACAAAGGAATCATTTAAGTTTTTTCTTYTGACACTCAGAAGCGATGTGGTAGCAGATATTGTGTTTGTTCATGGCTTGAGAGGTGGACCGCTTAAGACTTGGCGAATTGAAGGCACAAAAACTAGACTGACAGGCGAACAGTGCTGGCCGAAGGTAATGAAACTTGGTCTTCTTTCCTCTCTTCTGTTCTATGTATGTTGTGAGGTCGTAGCTTCCAAGAAAATCGCTGGTAATTGGCTGCCTCAACCTAGAGTAAAGCTAAATAACAAAGCATCAACAATAGATTTTATCACGATGAGCTGTATTAAGAGCTGCGAGACTACAGTTTTTTTCCGCTTGTCAATTTACATTTCTCTGTCCATCCATCAATCCATCCCTTCTTTCCCTATCAGTTTATTTTTCTGCACTTATGTTGTAGAGTGAATTGACGCTTTGCCAAAATGGCCGGCGCTCATTATCATAATTTAGCCATACCCTCAATAATACACTCCTCTGGAAAATAAGCAAGTTTGAAAAATATGTGAGTTTTCATTTCAAGCTACTATGATTTTAGACAGGGGWGACATACTTCAATATTACAGGGGTCATTTTTGCTGTAGATTTAAAAAAGGAAGAAATATACAATGGAGAGGCGTCCATTTTGGCTRTTAATATTCGTCATATCATTATAACACTAAGTGAAAAAAACGTTATCGGGTTCAGAAAGTTGATATTTTATCAAAGATTTGACCGAAAGGGATTTTGSKTAATCGGAAATGTAAATGATATTCGCTAAAACACGAACATTTACTAACACTTTTCAGTATTGTTTATTGTCAGGCMTGGCTGGTGAAGGATTTCCCTAATGTTCGAGTCATAATGGTGGAGTACGATTCGTATCTTTCTAACTGGGTTTCCCAATGTCCCACACAACCACAAACGTAAGCTATCTTTTAAAAAAGAAAATAGAGGATATTACATGGGCGCGCGAAGATACGTATTTTATGCTCGAGCGACCATGTAATATTCTGTTTATCATATAATTATCTATGAAATACCTATATTTCTCCATTTCATAAAACTGATATTTTCACTAGTGAAATAAGGTATTGTTACGACATAATTTGCTTTCATGTGTAATTATATGATAAACAGAATATTACATGGTCGCTTGGAGATACGAATTTTATCTTCTCGTGTTGAAAATCTCTCGCTACGTTCACTCGTGAAAGATCTTTTCAACACTCGAGCATAAAATACGTATCTTCGCGCGCCCATGTACTCTCTATATCCCATAGCCGCCACTATTTCCTTAAGGCGGAGAAATGCAAACATTGTACAGAATCTGAGTTTATAAATCTATCATATTTTTTTCTCAATGTGTTCCTACTTCGACTAAAACCACTCGCAAATTGACTTTTTATCCAATTCTCATGAGATTTAAAAAAAAGATAAATGGACGGTGGCCATGTTGGAGAAATGAACAATAGATACTAAAATGAGAAATGCTTTGTTGAAGTTCATCCAATATGGCCGCTGTGACGTAAATTGAAAACGAAAAATTACAATCTATCGAGACAATTTTGTGTAACTTATTTGAGTTCATTTCGACTGCAAAAATTCCGGAAAAATTCTGTGCAAATTCTAATAAAATATTATCCTTGTTGGTAGAAAACTTGCTTAACTTTTTGCTTCTTATAGTATGTCGAACTTAAGGTACTGGTGCACCTAAAGAAAGTCAGTTCGGCAGACGTAGCAAATGCTTCATTCAAAATGGAAAGGACGACTCTAGGACATAATATGATTGCATGTTGATATTATGTGTTCATCGTTGGAAGGACTGATTGTAGGTTTTTGTATTTCAGGCGTTCATTAGCTTTTCGTAGTGAKAAAATCATGAAGAAATTACATCGGGCAGGTGTTGGTAAAAGACCTGTAATATGGATAGGTCATTCTATGGGAGGTAGGTTACAAGGTATCAAAATCCTTTCATACTAGGAAAGACGACGTCAGGCAAAGTCCGCGTGTGGTCCGAGAACGTGTCGTGAATTAAGAATACAATGCATCGTTAGCCCTTTCGGCTACAGCTTTCTCCATTTCYCTTGGAAAAGAACTTAATCAAATCCAGTCTAAGGTGACAAAAGGAAACATAAAAACATTAAGTAATTTAAACATGTTTATGTTCAAGTCATTCACTACTTAAAAACCTTAAAGACAACTAAAAAAAGGATCAATAATGACAATGTYATGTTTGCATTTGTTCTTGTCTAGGAGTGCTCGTAAAACAGCTGTTATCATATGCTCAACATGACAGATATTACAGGTACTTTTTGTTTCTTACTAAAATACGTTGAAAAGAGAGGATTTCGTATGACTGCAACGGCACGGATCACAACACGGCACGGTCACGGAACCTCGCCTTCTAGGATTCCAAATAAAAATAAAGATATAACAATACATCACCGCTACGGAACGGTATGGTCAAAGCGCGAAAGTACCGGTTTTTTTTTGCACAGTAATACGAAATCCGCTCTAAGTTATATACGACTACCTAGTCTCTTAATAAATTATGAGACATCAGCAGTCGGCTAAAAGCGTGAAAAAATACTAACCATAGTGCTAAAACAAAGAAATTCGCATCATTCAGTACAATTTAGCCGCACTATGTAATAGTCTCCTTCACGGCTACCTTTCAAGATGGCGAAGCTAACCGTGAAGGAGACTATTACTAAATTTTGTTATGATATAAGTGTTCGCACTCTGTTCAGAAATTTAAACCAAAATAACATATTGAACGCCTTTGCGTGGCCACATCAGTGTGAACTCAATAGTAAGTATGTGGATAACATGCAATATAAGGAACTGTACTCGTTTTTTTGTTTTTCAGCCGATTGTTTGTTGGCAATGTTTAGCAGCTTAGAACACCTGTAATGTAACGTGAATTTCCTAAGATTGAAGCTACTCAATCTTAACTGTTTAGTGTTTTTGTCGGACAGTTCTAGTGTGAGGAAGATGTCTTTTTTTAAGAAGTAGGCAAACAAAAACATTTTCGCAGTCTTGACACCATTCCCTGTAGATATCTGTTCATGATTCTCGTACAAGTGACTCTAAAARGGCGAATTTGTAAAGTATAAACGATGAAGTTCATTGATGAATTACTGAGATAAAGAGTGCGACTCCACCAGTACTTCATGGGAATTACAGGGATGGTAATATCATGAAGCATTATGATATGAACGGRAAACCAGCAAACAGCAAAGAGAAATACAAGAATTACAACTGTTCTCGCAACTTGCTTCTCAATCGCAATTTGGGCCTYGGTCTTTCGTGCGTTTTCAGRATTCCTGGCAATCTTTGGGAACTTTATCTTGTAAATAATGACTCCATAGGAACAGATAATAATCACAACACTTAAGAGGAATTGTATCAAAAGTGCAATTTGCATCTTTGGGAAAGGAATGGCCAATGAAGCAGAAAGTAGAGCAATTCCCCAGCAAGCAAACAGCATCTTCTTCCACCATCTTCTCATGATATCCTGATGTTTATAAGGTCTTATGGTCGCTACAACTCGGTCAATACTAATGGCTACTARATGAAATATTGAACTCCACCCTGCAAACACCACAGCAACGAAGACCAGTTCGAGATCTTTTGTGTTGCATCGATGTAGAATAACTTTCAGGAAAAGCATAACCGAAAAGATAGGAATGGCTACCACACATACTATCAGATCAGCGACTGCTAAACTCAGTAGAAGAAAACATGACATCTTTTGACTAAGTTGAGGAGTGCCTAGGATTGTAGCGATGGTCAAGACGTTGCCAAATGTTCCAAAGACAGCAAGGAGAACATTGACAGCGATGAGTATCTCGCCTTGTGTTTGGGGTAGGAATTCGAATTCATTGGGTTTTGTGGAGTTTGCGATAGCCAACGAAGAGTTTACCGTGTCATTCATCTTGTTACAGCTTGAAGCAATCGATACATCCTTCTGTTGTTTTTCTGGTTTTTATAGTTTATTTAAATGTGCTTTTTGGATGTTTTATTCATATRCAAGCTGTTTTTACCGGCCAATGATTATCATGAATTGTCAGTTTTGCACATAGAAGAGGTCCTTAACTATAATTAAATAACAACTTACAGTTTTGGCAGAATGACACATGAGAAACATGTCAGTTATGAATTAGCATTTGTACCCCGTGTTATGCTTTAAACAATAAGATAACGGGTATAAACAAACAAAAAATAATATAAGGTTTGTTATGATACTCCCTACCATATAATCCCCTGAATCGTCCCAATCGCCCWAAAGGAGTTTTTCCATCATTGTTAAGTCCCTTGGCAAAACTTGAACAATGSAAGTACGCGTTTGGTACGATAATAAGGTAGATAGAAGGATAGGATGGATAGAAGGATAGAATAGATAGTGTATTGAACATATTTATGACAGCAGACAAAGACTGAATTGCGTAAAAATGAAATGTAGATATATGTAATAAAAAAACCTATAATAAGAAATGATAATATATAAACCTATTATAATCTATTATAAAATGTTGTCAATTTGTCATGGCGGGAAAAAGACTATATATTTGAAACGATTTGTTCGGGACTTATATACTTGAAAGTGATGCGACCTTCTTAAATTAAASCTATTTGGATCTTGCTGAGGCACAAACTTATGTAAATTATGACTGCTATCGAGCAGATCTTATTAAAGATACTAGTCCTTATAGCATTACATCTTTCAGTTGTTGATGAGATTGTGATGGAAACTAGCGGTGAACTAGTGTGAGCTGCGTCGGTGTTTCTAAAAGAAACAGTTGTGACTGACGAAGGAAAAACGTCTGCAACTTCAGTTAGTTATTTTTTCATGCTTTCTAGGAGGTAAAATTTATCTTATTTTGCAACTGCTAATGAGATTAAAATGATAATTCACTTTACGCTTATTTTTCTTTCTTTTACTTGCCCTAAACATGTGTCAACCATATTGATCATGCTGTTACTCTTTGAAAATGACTATTCTCTCTGAAACTTAATATTGTTTTCGCAAATTAAGATGGCAAACTAAACTATCCCTTGGCACAGCATTCTCTTYWTTTCAATCACYTTTTTAACCGTAYTTAAAAATTGGACTGCTTCAAGCTACGTTCGTGAAAATTATCTACACAAAGTCATTAGATGTGTTTTTTGAAAATGTTCCTGAACCAAAACGTATCAAAAMAAACATCAATGCACGCGATCTTCCATATTTAATTATCCTTTCAAATTCAAGATGGCAACAGTTTCAGATATCGTTCATTACACTCGCAATTACCAAGAACTTTCAAAACATTACTCGTGACTATTAATTCCAAATTGTACTCAAGGTTGTGCGACTTCGTACACAAATGGTTTCTAAGAAGAGTTCTTTTAAAATATGTACACGCATTTTGAGTCGCGAATGTCTTTTTGAGAGTGAATTCCAGACAGACGTACCACGATAAATAAATGTTGTTTTCCCGAGTTCGCTGCGGTGTTTAGATACTATTTATTGCTTTGTAATAGCCTGAGTATCAGGCTCTCTCTCATTTCTCGCTCCGGTCCAAACCCTTTCGAGAGAGCCTGATACTCAGGCTAGTAGCTTTGTAATTGACAAGGATATCAAAGTYCAAATGGCCAACTTGTCAACAGTGTTGCTCACCAGGCTGTTTAACTTSTGCTCATTTCTCAGCATGCTAGTGTCCTTTCCGCAAATGACGTGGACTAGATACAGAATGGGACAAAAATACAAATTGGCTTTGTTGTTTTTGTTTGCCTTTATTGTGTCTCGTTGTTGTTGTTTTAACAACAAGCAATAGTCCTTTCAAAGACACGTCTTTTAACATACTCTAGTGTGTAGACATCTAATAAAATTCTCTTTCAAATGCTTCTCGACGTCCAATATCGTATATTTTGAGAGGAAACTTCATTCTCATTAGCTTTTACAAGACATCCACCATCTTGATACTTTAATCATTACCATCAGCACTTCGCCAGAGCGCACATTACGTCATTAGTCTCGRCGACCATTACTGAAAATATGCGCACGAAAACCATTTCCGAAACGCGGAAACTATTCTCTCAAAAGTTCGGTTTACAATTCTCGTACAAGCAAGACGAAATTGGCGAATTCTTAAAGTATACACGACAAAGTTTAAGGAAGATTTTGCGAGGTAAAGACTTCTAGTCCACCAGTATTTCATCTCGATGGTGGGCTTATTAATGTCCATGATAATTATGATATGAATGGGAAACCAGCACAGAACAAAAAGTAAAATAACAATTACAATTGTTCTAGCCACTTGCCTCTCCATTGCAATTTGGGCGTCGGTTTTTGGCATACTTGCAGGTCCTGTGACAATGTTGGGGAAGTTAATCTTGTACAAAATGACTCCATATGAAGACACGATAATAACAACACTTAACACGAATTGTACGAGCAGTGCAATTTGCATTTTTGGAAAAGGGATAATAAAACAGCCAGAGAGTATTGCACTTCCCCAACAAAAAACAATTATCGGCTTCCACCATCTTCTCATGATGTCCTGATGTTGATGAGGTCTTATTGTCGCTATAACTCGGTCAATGCTGATGGCTGCTAAGTGAAATATTGAACTCCATCCAGCGAGCACCACTACAACAACGTAGATTAGCTCAACTACATGGTTACATCGATGTAGGATTGCCAGGTAAAGTACAACGCCAAATAAAGGATTTCCAGCAGCGGAAACAATCAAATCGGCTACTGCTAAACTCAGAAGAAGAAAACTTGAAACTTTTTGTCGAAGCTGAGGGGTGTCTAAAATAGCAACGATGGTCAAGATGTTGCCAAACGTTCCAAATACAGCAACGTAAAGACTGATCGCTAAGAGAACATTGCCTTGAACTACAGGAAAGCTACATTCATTTGCTGTATCATACGACGTAGCGTTTGTCAAGGAAAGAGTTGTAAATCGAGGAGTATTTGTCGGCATCTTGTTGCASCCTAAGTAAAACGTGCTCTTGTTGTTTTGCTGACTTTTATGTTTTATCATTTGTGAGCATTAGTTTGTCCCATCCAGGAGGTCCCGTACCATTATGCAATGACAGCCCTATTAACTGTGAGACAGATATCGGCTAAATTAACTATATGACAGCTTTTATGAAAAGCTTACTACATTTGCTGTAGAGATGCAAATAAGAAARAAAAAGTGTAAGACAAGAGCAACAGATGTTGTAATATAAATATATAAAACTGAATAACTCGCCCTGCAGAGGGAAATAAAAAGGAAATTGAATAGGATTTCTTTTATTCACTTCTCTACTAATTGTTTTTCTTCTGAATCTAATTACCTTTCTCAATACTACCTGTAGAACTATCAAAATGCAGGTGATGCTGCCTTTTTTATCTCTGCAACGTACTTGACACTTGTGTATATTTGTTTACATTTGCTACGAGCGAACAGCGAGTAGTGTTTTCTTACTCACTTTCTATTAAAATCTACTTGTATAAAAGTCTCTCCGTCTACAATTTCCATGATTCATAAGCAGGAAAGCAAGATGCACCAATATGTGTTGTTCATAGAAATTAAGGTTCTTTTTCACTGTGCAATTTTTTCAGCAACTTTACTCGCAACGCTTTTTTTGGTCGCATGATTAAGTTCTCTACCCCAATACAAGCGACATCAATGTCATCATCTACTTCAGCACAAAGCGCTGCGGAAAGAAGAGTTCCTGAAACTATCGCAGTTGTTATCCTGTTGTTTGCTTTATGTTGAATTCCGTTCCTGGTAATTCTTACAATGTTTGGTCTTAATAGCACCAATATACCAGTAAAATACTGATGGAGCCGCATTCTTTATCTAGCAAATTCCTCGATGAACTTTATTGTTTACAGTCWACGAATTCGACAATTCCGTGTCCACTTTATAAGGATAATCAACTGAACTGCTGATAGAATTAGAGATTACTTAGTAAATGTTTCTGACTGATAGACGACATAGACGGGAAGTTTAATAGACTGAAAAGAGTAAGAAAGATACCAGCTTTCACCGTGAATCAGTACTTAATCGGTGCTGTTAAAGCCGGCCTACAAACATATACATCACAGGGTTTTATAGCGGGAACCATGTGTCACTACACTAAAGGTTGGCCTTATGGAGRAAAGGGTTTTGGATTTGACTCTAACAAAATAAGTTTTGACATTGAATAAAATAGTTATAAATCTCACCAGGCGTCAAGGATTATCATGAGACGATACCATTTACTGAAGATTTTTTCAAAATTATTCATGTGCATTGAAAGTATTGGGCGTGCTTTTTGGATTTATTTTAAACAAAACGAACGATCGAAAAGTTTATTGAATGCAAACGGGTCTTTAAAGAGGGTCTTTGGAAGTATTCAGTGCTTCAGTAGTTATGTTAAGAGGTTAATGCTTTTACGGTGGGATTTTAGATGTTTATGCGACCGAACGAAAGGAGTTGTGTTCTATAGTACGCCCCATAAAGGCTCAGCTTTGGCCTCGTACTCATCTCAAGCAAGGTACTTTTTACTCCCCTCTGTYGAAGTGAAGGAGCTCTGTTTGGGTAAGTAAGTATAGTGTCACTCATCATTATCATCGCTACTGTTATAGATTTTGTGTGAACAATTATTTGATGAGATTCTTGTAAACTCCGAAATACACTTGACAAGGTAAGAATAAGTGTAGTCAATCAAGGCCGAAGGCTGCACTACACTTGCGGCCTTGAAGTTGATTATTTCGGATACCACAAAAACCTCGTCCAATAATTACGTTTTTAAATTGTTTTCCTAGAGCAAAATAAGTCATGAGAAAAAGGAGTGAAAATTGAATTTTAATCTGCAAAGGCGCAAATAGCCTATTTTTGGCGCATTTGGTCAGGAATGCATTTCGGGCCCGACCTTCAAATTGTAAAAAAAGTTATTGGATAGCTAATTAGCTTTTTGCTAATCTGTATGTAATTCTAATTGTGAAAAGAACCATCATTTTCTGTTGCTTTTCCTCATCACCTCATTGTTTTATTGTTATTTTTTATTGTTTTTTTGTTTTGTTTTGTTTTTTTTGTTTTTCATTGTTTTATTGTTATTGTTTTGTGCCATTTCTATCTTCCTATGATAGGTTCAGCGTATTTGTCGGATCTTCACAGTAAATTTCTGAAACTTCTCGATATTTATCGGTTCAAATGTTTGAGCATCGGGGAAACAATACCCCTTAAGTTGTCATGGTTGTGGAACTCCGTACTTGTCGAAGAAGATTCCGCAAGTAAGTTAATATTCAATAAAATATTGTTTGCTTTCTTTGTTGTTATTGTATTTTCACTTTTTTGTTGTTGTTGTTTTTATGCTTGAGATGTTTCACTAGTTATCGTATCCAGTTTGTTTTGATCACCTTTTTCGGTTTTTCCAGACTTTGGTTATGGTCTGTATTTTTCGCTGGATACTAATCACATTAATGTGAGCAAACCAAGCGATCCTAACGATCCACGATATCAACACACTAAGGACTTCATCCAAGAGGTCTTAAGACAATAAGGAAAGAGGACATGATGATGACACTGATGAAGGTTCACGATACCATTCAAGAAG